AGTGTGATGGACTCATCAAGGCCCTGTGAGCTGGATGTTCATGTAACTGAAGATGGTTATGGATGGGGCCTTTGGCAGCAGCTTGAATGGGCACTCCAACCTACTGGATTCTGGTCACAAGTATGGAAAGGAGCAGAGCTTTGGTACACCTTGACAGAGAAGCAACTGATTGTCATGTACCACGCCTTGCTGGCTATGGAGCCCATCACCGGAACAACTCATACCAAGGTAATAACCACCTACCCCATCATGGGGTGGGTGCAAGACTCGACCAAAGGCCATGGAGTGGTGTGGCACAGATGCCTACACTAGCTAAATGGGGTGCATACTTTCAGTAGCATAGTGCTGTGTCTACTAGCCCCTTAAGTGGATAACTCCAACACTTATTGGGGCCAGTGACATATACCAGTGGAAAACAGGAAGAACTTGCTTTTGAGCCACTGGTAGCTGAGAGTCCTTATCAGGAGGGAAAAGCCCCTACACCTGAAGATGCTTGGTATACAGATGGGTCCAGTCATAGGCAGCCCCCAAAGTGGAGGGCTGTGGCTTTCCATCCTAAGACTGAGATAATATGAATGGAAGGTGGAGGGGAGAAGAGTAGTCAATGGGCTGAGTTGCAGACAGTATGGCTTATGATCACCCAGGAGCTCTCCCTTATAGTTGTCTGCACTGACACCTGGACCATCTATTGGAGCTTGACCCTGTGGCTACTGAAATTGTACCATACCAACTGGATGGTTGGTCACCAGCCCCTTTGGGGGCAAGAGTTGTCACAAAATCTATGGGCCTTTGGTCAGACTAAGACTCTTAGAGTATATCATGTGACTTGCCATTTGCCTTTGGCAACCCCAGTATATGGTGAAGCAGACACATTGGCCCAGATGCATTGGCTAGAAGGAAATCCTGCCTCTGATGTAGCCCAGTGGTTACATCAGTGTTTGTTGCACGTGGGGCAAAAGACAGTGGGCTGTAGCCCATTGGTGGGGTTTGCCTTTGACCTTTGAAGAAGTCAGCAGAGCCCAGAAGGAATGCATTCTGTGCTCTAAAAGGGACTTATACCAAGTCCCGCAGCAACATAGGACAATAGTAAAGGGGCCAACACCCCTTGTCAGGTGGCAGAGAGACTATACTGGGCCTCTGCCCATATCAGAAGGATATTGGTATACCGTGACTTGTGTGGACACAGCTACTGGACTGTTGGTTGCTTTTCCTGCATGTCATGTAGATTAGCAAATCACCAAAAGGGGCCTAGAGCATCTCTTTGCAGCCTATGGCTGGCTACAGGTGACTGACAGAATCAGGCACCCACTTTACTGGACATGCGTTACAAGAACGGGTGCAGCAATTAGGAATGAAGTAGAAGTTTCATGTACCATATAACCTTATCAGGGCAGGCATGATAGAGGGGTACAAAGGTTTGTTGAAATCTTGCCTGAAGTCAGACTCCAGTAGTCTCCGGGGCTGGTCAGTTCATTTATGGACAGTGCTATGGTGTTTGAATGAGAAGCCCTGAAAAGGAGCCTTGAGCCCTGTGGGTACACTAACACAGCTTGCTGCCTCTCCTATACAACTGTACGTGCAAACCAAAGAGGAGTTACTGAAGCCAGCATATGGCCAGCAGAGCAACATCCTGCTGCCAGCCCAACTGCATTAAACCCTGGACTCTGTTCAGTGGACGTGGCCCTGGACATTTTGACACACAGACCAGCTTGGGCTGGCCCTTCTGGCACCTTGGGGAAAAGGCCTGGAAGCTGGCCTCATGAGTATTCCTGGAGTAACAGCAGAGTGCCCCCCAAAGATCACAGTAGTATAACCAAAATGTCCAGAAGGTGAGAGCATCTTACAGGGAAGTTTTGTTTTATCTTTATGGCCAGTGCATGTACCTCCCATAGCCCTATATATTGACCCATCTGTAACTCCCGCAGGGAGTGGGGGGGAAAGTCTGGTATACTAGACCAGGATGAGATCCCATTCCTGCCACTGTCTTATCATAGGACCACTCTCCTCCATGCATCCTAATCCTGATGGACAAGATTTGCCTTGGGGATGGACAGAAGTAGTCCATGTCCATATCAGTAGGTAATTACAAGGGGAAGTGAGGTCATATCTGGACCAGAGAGGTTGGATGGGGTCTCTTTCTGCAGCCAGGTCACAAGAGACAGGCGAGCAGAAGTGGACGACTGTTTGTAAGCGATAAATGGGTTTCTTCCATTTTATTTCTCCCTTTGACTGATTTCGGTTTCAAACATATTTTGCCCTGGGCTGGGAAAATATTTTCTCCCGGGAGTTACAACTAATTAGTGAGAAAAAAAATATCCATATAATTTCCAACCTGTATTTGAGAGTATGATAAATAAAGATTAATCTACTATCAAAGTAGAGATGCAATCAGGAGTAAGTCAGGAATGAGAAGGAGAGATGGCACAATCAACCATCTAGCTCTTCAGTTTTTAATAGCAAGTAAATTATACTTCCCCATGGATTTCCATAGCTCTCAGTCTGGGGACAGACTGGATGTCCACAACGAGATTAACACTAGTCAGTATAATGTCACACATACACCCCCTCTGGCTGACACTGAATATCCTTAAAGGAGGGTAGCTACCCAGCTGTGCATACTAGTCCAGCTGCCTGTTTCTGCTGCCTTCCTAACCAAGGACTTCTTCAGAGCACTTGCAGTATAAGTTAGACACTGGTTAGCTGTTCACTAAGCCTGTTTCCCCTACTTTCTGGGCATATAGCTCAACCACCTTTTCCAGCCTTCCCCATAGCTTACTGTGGCCATGTAAATAATTCCCAGCTCAACATAGGTAAGCATGAGGTGACAAGTACTCCTTCTAGGCCTCACCCATGACACCCTCCATTGTGCAGTCCTTCATGCTGTTTTCCCTTCACTGGCTCCATGCACACAAACATGGGTACCTTGGAAGCTACAATTTAAAAATGGCGGAGCTAAGGGTTGGAAGGAGTATGTGTCCTTAAGTCTCCCCTGGGAGGAGAGAGGCCCAGGAACACATTGGGTTTGAGATGACTAAGAGATAAATTTCCACTATGTCAAGCCATGAGATTGGAAGGTGTATCCAGTACAGCAGCTACACTGCTCTACTAACACACCAATGCAGGGAAATAGCCAGGCTTACCTTACAGTGTTAGTCCCCTTAGTCTCTAAAGCATGCACAGAATTTCAGCCAGGGTCACCAAGCCAAAGAAAAGTGCCTTTTGCCAGAATATTTCATTGATATTGCCTGAGTTAAATGGGTATGTGAGCAGCTATTTGCGGGGCCATTACTAAAGATCATACTTCATCTAATGTCTGTAGCACAGAAGTATGAAAGGCTTTGATGTCAGACAGGTGTGGTTTTGAATCTTGACTCCCCCACCATCCAATAATTCTTTAGCTTCATCTCCCTGGGCCTCTGTTTCGTCATCTGTAAAATGAGGATAATAACACCTCCCAAGAATTTTTGGGGGATAAAATAAAAGATAGCATATAGAACACTGGCATAGTTCCTAGCATGTCAAAGGTATTGGATTAGTTCACTCTCAACAACTATGAAATTAATGAACTGGGAATTTATTTACCTTTCTAATCAGAAGATTAAGCAAGAGGTGGCCTTTTCACAAAGGACTGTATATTTATCCTTCCATAAAAATGTTGATGATTTCATACAAAGGAATCAGTTTCAACACATATTTATTTTTTCCTTGATCTGAATAAGGATAAGTATTTAAGTTTTAAGAAACTTAAAATAAATGTGTAAACAGAGGCAATATTATTTTACAGTTTTTCCTTTGAAAGAAATAAATGTTGCATTGCAAACCAACAATTGAATGTGCTAACCTTTGACACAGAAAGAGAGTGATAAATGAGACTTCTCACACAACAGAGAGGAGTAAAGGACATTTCCAGGTAACACTCCTTCCCCTCCAGACGGTGCCCCAGATGGAATGAATCCATGGGAAAAGATGGAGGATCACACACCAAACAAGTTGGTGCCAGGCCCTCCACCCTATCCAGGTCCATCTCTTTAGATGAGATTTGGCAACAGGACAGGTAAATAAAGCGTGATCCTTCTAGGTAAGCTGAGGGAGCAGCAAACTATTGCAGTCCCATCCCCCAGCTGCAGTAGGAGGCTGAAATGTCAGGTCAACCAGGTTGTGGAGGGAAGCATGGAAGAGAGCCGCCTACCAGCATGACTAAGTGCTCTTGGGGACAATCCCCACTTAAAGGACAGAAAGCAAATATCCAGATGTTAGGGACTATGAGATGTGATTCACCAAGGGAGGGTAAACCTGCCCACTTAACCATCTGAACTTCCCCTCTCATCAAAGTAACCCAAGAGTTTTCTGCAAAAGCATTAATCCACAAAACGAATGGAGGCTCCATCCAGCTTCTAGGCCCACCCCTGTTCCTCTCTCCCTCTCAGAGTCAGAACATCGGCCTATTTTTAAACTGCTGGCAATGCATTCTCTGGTAGAAATGTGTGGGCTTCCTGACACAGGCTGATGCTCACTCGGAGAAGATACAGGCACGGCAAAGGCTTTGCCAGTTCGCCTGTCCCTCCTCTCCCACAAGAATGGGGTTGAGGGGGCTAAGGGAGGAGCAGGCCTGGGAGGGGGAGCCTGCTACCCATGCGGAGGAGTAGGGAGTATCTGTCGCTGGTTTCCATGACAGGGACAATGAACTGCAGGCATCCTTCCTCTGCAAAGGGGAAGGCTGAGGCTTGGGCAAGAACCAGCCCCATACAGATATCAACAGAAACAGCTCAAGTCTGGGAAGAGAAAAACAAACCCCAGATGTGAATTCTAGCATCTATTAAAGAAAAAAGAGCTTAAGTGGATCTCAATGTTTCTTTAACATGCATCTAATGTGCTTTAAATATAATAGCAAACATTTCATTAAACATTGCAGACTTTTTTTGCAGATGGCAATGAAGACAATTTACAAAATAAAACAAAACAAAACCCAAGACCTTTTAAAAAAGGTCTGCTGTACTTACAATCGCTCCAGCTGCTTCAGCTCCTGGAAGGCACCTCTCTCGATGACGCTGACCTGGTTGTCTTCCAGATGCCTAGAACCACAGAGGCAGCGACGGTCAAGGACAGGTGGAACACAGGGGTCCTCACGCTAGGTTCAGGCCATGCAGGCATGGTCACTCGGCCCCTCTCATGACCCTCTGCCCCCGCACCCAGTCCCCAGCCCCCAGCCCAGATCAGTCTAGTAGGACAGGATAATTCACTTCCCAGCTTGGCGTCACGGTAACCAGGGTTTTGCCGCCTGCACATTTCTACCTGACAGATTGGTTTCCATGCCTCTATTTTAAGAATGTTCTCGGCAAATGTCCCCCCAAGCACTGCAGGATGTTGCACAGAAAAAGAAGAGGTAAAAGCTGCTTCTTATAAAAAATGCACACATACTCAGCATCTCTTCCCTCAGAGCTCCCTCCTCTAAGGATTCAAAACACTTCATTGAAAAGGGCCTTCTCTGCACACCCTGTCTCTGGGTCACCTCACAGAAAGGGGGAAGCTATTGTTGACAACCGTCTGTGCCAGGAACTCCGCGTGCCCAGGGCTTGGCTGTTCCCACCATGAGGGTGATGGGCACAAAAGCTTGTTCTCCCAACTCAGGCTCAGATGACCTCTGACATCCTCCATGTAGGTGATTAAAAAACCTCAATACTCAGCTTATGTGAGTGTGATTCATGCATGTTACATATCCCAAGAATTGAGCATACAATGAAACATTTCTTTCCCTAACATGGCAGCTTAAAATGGATTCGCTTAACAGTAGGGAAAGAAAGCAGTAAGGCTGCATAGTTTCCATCTAGAGCTGACTGGTGGCTGAGCAGAATTTAGGGCTATGCAGTTATGATTGAAGGATATTTCTTTGAAAGGTAGGGTTTAGGAAGGGCATGGGTTCCTCTGGATTAGACAGCAGGAGAGGTGCCCGAAGCACCTGAAGGGAGAGCAGAAGGAAGGAAGAGTGACCTTGAGGAAGGTAGGCCTTTATTTCATTTCCTTCCATGCCAGCCCTCCACCTGTGCGATGTCATCCCCTGTACCTCTTAGGTTTACCTCCCAGGCCCTTGCATTTATTTTCAAGTCTATCCTTCCCACTAGGCCTAAGGGCCAAGAGAGGAAGGACTTCTGTTCATCGTCATACCCCAACCCTAACCCAGTTACCTATCACAACAGCCACTTAATAAAGACTTACTGAATGAATGAAAAATGAAAGAGGACTTTGGACTACAGCACATACTGATTTTATGTCAAGGTAAAGGCTTGTCTAGGACACATGAATTTCTGCCTTAGACCACCAGAGTAATAGGGGTATTTTCAATGAGATTTTACACTTTTGTGACTGTTGCAAACAATTAAAAATCAGGATATTTTACACACACACACACACACACACACACACACACACACACACACACACACGCCCATAAAAGAAACTCCTTTTGAAAAATCAGCTCTTGTATTTGCAAATACCAACAACTGGCCAGAATCCAGTAGGTGTCAGGCAGGGCACATGGCTCCCCCAGTTGCCACAGTCCACACCCACTCTGATTCACACAGGCATGTTACATCTGGGCCCTGTAGGCTGTGCCCTTATAGGTCCTCACTTAACAGGTAGGACCACCGTGGAGCAGAGGTTAAGAGACTTGTCCAAGGAGAAATGATTTGTATAAAGTCGCTCAGCAAGCTAGGGTTGACTCTCTAACTCTCAGTCTGGCGTGCTTACCAGATTTGGTTGGGAATCCCTTTCCTGCTTTCTTACCAGCTGATGGTGTAACAGTGGGATATCTAGTCAACCTCTCTGAGCCTCAGTTCCCTTATTTTCAAAATAGAAAAAATAAAACATCTCAAAAGTCCTCATGAGAATAAAAATGGAATAAAGTATGCCAATTACCCAGCCCAGATCTGGAGTACAATCAAAGGCATAATACATGTTCTTTTCCTTCCCTTCTCTTCCTTTCCATTCCACCATATGGCAAGGAGGGTTTTGGAATGCTAACAGACTCACACTAGCACATCTTGCTAAACAAGGAACCAGTTCAATATTAGTGACTGGGGGTTGGTTCAGCTGGGTTTTTACTATCAATCGACCCATCACAGAGCTTGTCATTCCTTCCCAATTATAACAAGAAGCAACACTAGGGTGGCTGAGTGTCACATTCCCTCTGGGTTTCCAAAAGAGTTTAACTCCAACCTCCTATGATGAATCTCTAAGTTCTGTACTAATTAATCTAACACTACTAGCTTCTTTCCAAAAGAGGAGTAGAAAAAATGCGAATATACCTGTATCACATGCCTGCCCCTCCTCCACTTGCCTCATGCCTGGGAGGTTTAACATTCAGTGGCCTCATCAAGAAGCTTCTTTGTCTCTGGCTTCCTACTGGGTTTAGTCAATGGGGGGCACCAGCAGGAGCCAAGAAATGAGGAGCAGACTGAAGTTGGGTATTTATTCCCAGCTCCCTCCCTGCCAAGTCATTTCAGGTTCACTGTGTGCCACTACCTAAGACCACAGGTAGAACCTCTACCTAAGACAACAGGCAGTCCTGACCTTTTGTGGGCTTAGGTAACCACTTCCTCCCTCTGCTCCTTGAGGCCCCCAGGGCAGTCATGGTGCCCTATTTCATTGTCAGCTACAGGGAAGTGAAGGATCTCTTTTTGGTGTCTCTTAACCTTGCCCATACCTTTGTAAATAATTCTTTACTTAGTTCTCTTCACTTGTTCTGTGTGAGTGTCATCTCTTTCCTGCTGGGATCCTGACTAGTAAGAAACCTAGGGCTCCTTCTAGACCTACTCGCTAGATCTATAGAAGTCTAGCCTGGTAACTCCTGTCCTTTAAAGGCTCAGTAGCCAACATCTGATGAATTAGTGAGTCAATGAATGAATAAGCTTTGAATATCCCATCCAGATTTGTAGGCTGAGATGCATTTCTGGAGCTTGTGCTAATGCCATAGATAACAACTCTCATTATACTGACCAGACTCGAGAGGTGAGGAGAATCCAACAAAGGTGGATTCCCAGAAGGACTGTCCATAGCGTGAGTCTGTTCTGCATTACAGGGACACTTGGCAGTGTTATTTATTTATTTTTTTAGTTTTAACACTGGATCAGAATAGGAATCACCCCATGTATTGATGGCTGAGGTGGAGTTTAACTCCTTTATTAACCCCATTTGGGATAAAGCTGCTTCCACATTGTGGACATGGCAAAACTCTTGCAACAGACTACTAAGAAAGGGAATATAATTGATACCATCACAAGAGACCTTTTCGTACTTTTACCCCATGGGAGAAAGGATTGTTATGTGCAGTTCTTGTATCTTTTCCATGAATGCACTGCATTTGGGAAAATTGCCTTTGGATGAGGCTGAAGTTGCCCAGTCTCCACTTCATCTGCTTTTGCCCATTCACCTGCACTGAATTAATAGTTCTGCATGGAAATAGGTGGCAAGCTCAAATTATTCAAGACTATTGAGTCTTTTCTGGTTTCACTATAAATTGTAAATAAGACACAGATATAGGAAATGTGCCAAGGTGTGATGAAAGCTTTTCAAAAAAGATAGTTGTCTAGGTTACTCAGCTAAAAAGATTGAAGGAAATATGGTTTAAATGTCTGGACATTTTACTGGTGTCAGAAAGCAATTCAGCTACCCCACCTAGCAGATTCTTTCAGAATAATAAAAGGCCACTTGAATGGGATTGTCTTTGAGTTGATAAGGAAGATCATGAAACACAGTATATTAACAAAGTCTATAAAATGGGGCAAGGGACCCTGCTGACGCCTGGATTTTGGACTCTGGCCTCCAAAACAGTGAGACAATTAACTTCTTTTGTTTTGGCATTGCTTATCAAAATATGAAGAATGCACCAATTAACTGGAAAGATAAACTAGTCAAAGGAATGTTGTAGACCATAAGAGGATATTAATGCAATCTTTTGTGATTATTTCAAATTTTCTACTTCCTCAGATCAGACATGGAAATTGGAATTTTTATTTGTCTTTCTGATGTAACGGTAAGGAAATTAAAGGGTTTCTTTTTTCTGACTTTGTTAGAAAATGAAGCATTAGGTGAAATTCTCTTGCATGAAAAGAGATCTCTCACAGATGCAGGGGGAAAAGAGAAAAAAATAAAGGGAGCATCTAAATGTCTATTCTTTAAGCTGGCAAGTGACCTGAAAGGGGGTGTACTGCCTCTCTCTCTTCAATAAAGATCACCCTAAAACTGAACCATGGAATTCCCCCACCCTTAACCCAATCTCAGTTCTCATCCACACATACCTTATCAGAGCTACTAGCCATTTGACAGACATATGACTGTTCAGGGTACAAGGAACACTTGCCAGAAGGTAGGGTCTCCCCTCTGAGGATGGAGAAAGGAGAAGGTACAGGACAAAGACTGGGTTACGCATGGAGGGAAGAGCAGCTGCTACCTGGAGGCCCAACATCCAGACGCCAGAGTCCCCACACACCAAGGCTTAGGGAAACAGGTAAGCCCCTTGCACACCAGTGCTGCAGTCACAAAATGGGTAGACTACTCTTTCTTGGTCTTTACCTTTCTTATTAACTTGATAATGCGAATGATCAGAGGCACTGCGTAGAGATTAGAAAGTACAAATTTGGGTTCTGATTCCTCCTCCTGCACTTAATAGCCATGTGGAGTTGGACACTTAACCTCTCTGTGCCTCTGTTTCCTCTGGCCAGGTAGGGCATCATTACCACTATCTACTTCTCAATGTTATACAAGTAATGTTCCACAAGTTGCAGTGAGAATAAACAGACTGTTCATGAAAATGTTAAAATCATAGGGCATTGTATGTGCAACTATGAGAGATAGAAGGACTTCTAACCACTTGTTACAGGTTGAATTGTATCCTCTGCAAAACTCATGTGTTGATGTCCTGACCCCCCAGTCTATCAAACTGTGACCTTATTTGGTGATAGGGTCCTCCCTGAGGTAATTGAGTTAAAATTAGGTTATTAGGTGGGCCCTTATCTAATATGATTGGTGTCCTTCTAAAAAGAGTAAAGTTAGATACAAACATGCATAGAGGGAAGACAATGTGAAGAGACCCAGAGAGAAGATGACCATCTAGAAGCCAACGAATGCCTGACGCCACCAGAAGCTAGAAGAGAGGCCTGGACCAGCTCCTCCTCTCATGACCCTCACAAGGAACCGACCATGCTGACGCCTGGATTTTGGACTCTGGCCTCCAAAACAGTGAGACAATTAACTTCTTTTCTTTAAGCCACCCAATTTGCTTTTGTTACAGTAGCCCTAGCAAACTAATACATTATTCATTCTGTGGTTTACAGATGAGAAAACTTAGGTTCAGAGAGGTATAGTGACTTGCCCAAGGTCACACAGGCAGTTAATTCTGAATCAGGACCAGAACCTGATACTTCCTGTTCTTAGAACAAAATTCATCATATTATAAAGGACTATTAGTAAAAAGAAGGAATTGGCTTTAGATACCAAAGCAATAGCTGCTACTTCTAGTAAAGGTCTGACATCCGAGATTCCATGACACAAAAAAACACCAGGATAATGGCTGGATTGCCCAGATTGTGCTCCAGATCTGGTGCCACATTTACAGGTCAAAATCAACCTCTGAGTAAAGAAGGAAAGAGGGTCCAATTGCTCCTTTCTTGTGCCTCTGAATGTCTGAGACTTGTCAATGGACAAGCGTGTAGGCACCTCCTCACCACTCATAGGATTTAGCAATGAAATCTGACATTTGTTGCTCCACTGTTGCACCAAAGCCCATCTCAAATTTTGCTACCGTCAGCACAGCTGTGGGTGTTCAGCAAGAGCTCTGACCCTGTCTGACTCTCTCCCACCCTCCTTCCCTTCTCTCCATTAAGCAACAAGATAAATAACTTTTGTCCTGATTGTTCTTTTAATGCACAGGCTGGAGAAGAAATTATAACCTCTATGGAAGGGAAGCATGGTTAGTCAACCTGACATTGCTGTCATCCTAGAAGCTGGGCATGTTGATTTATTCATGCATAGCCTTCTGTTTTCCCTGTTACTGGCACAGACTTCTTCGATCAGTCCAGCCAAGCCTACAGCATGGAGATACAGAATGAGATACATGTGAAAACCTGGGTATACTTATAAAGGGCTTTTTGCTGCAGAATGGTGAATTCCTGCTTAGGGGTGTGATGTCAGGGCAGTGGAACATTTTCACAAGGCTGAAGAGCTGAAAATGAAATTGCACTGGAGAGCCATATACTACTTACAAGACTCGGAGGTTCTTGAGTCCAGCAAAATCCATCTTGGTGATTTTGGTGATATTATTTCTGTCCAGGTCACTGTAATGGAGAGAAATTTGGGTAAGATTTTTGCAGACTACACTTGTGGTCTATTTAACCCAGACTGGCTTGGACTGGAGGATGTTGCTTGTCAAGGAGAAGGCAATTCCAATGATTAACGTTATCCCCTGAGCATGCCCGACCAACCTTAAATTAAGGACATTGTATGGAATAAGCTGTCTATTATGTGTATAGTAGAGCCCTGTTATATTTATCTACTTGGCTTCTGTTGCCCCTTCATCCAGTATCAAAGTTTTCTTTGGAAGCCCCCTCTCCCAATTCTCAGATAATGTCATATAAGTGAGGCTGATTCCTCTTCTCAGCTCCAGGCTTGATCTAGACCAGGCTTATAACCATCTCCATTCCTTCTAACCACAGTAATTGTTTCACGAACATGTACATGCCTCAAATTCCCAGTAGCTCCCTCTCCACTGGGCTTTCTAAGCTGTTCAGCACCACTAGAAGCCACCTGGCCACCACAAAGACAGAGCTTTCCAGAGTCAGGAGACTAGGAGACTGATTCCTGGTGCTACCCTGTGAGTATCTGGATCCACCCATGCCTGAAGTCAGATATCTCTGTATTTTGAAATTACATGACCCATACTATCCTACCTCTTTTACATTTTGTCTTAAATCAGTTTGAGTTGAATTTTCTATCACTTGAAATCAAAATAATCTTGGCTGAATTTGGTGCCTGTCTAGGTACTGTCTCTTTTCTGGCTAGTGTGCAAATTCCCTCAAGGCAAAGATAGTATCTCCTTTAACTCCATAGCCCAACATAGAGGGTATGTGACTGGCACAGAGTAGAGGTAACTGCACTAATCTCATACATTAGGTAGACAGCTACATGGACTACTTCTGCCTCAAGCTGTAGGCTTAAGTTCTTGAAAATGGCCCCAAAGATGAGGATTTGCCATGAAGAACTGAAAGCGTTATGGTGGTATTTGCACAAGGGGGTGGGAAGGGGGGCACCAAAACCTGGGTTAGGGAAAACCAAAGTCAAGAATGAACCTAGGAACAACTGTATAAATATTCTGTACTCACAAAAACTACCTAAGACTTGATGCAAAAAAAAAAAAAAATTTTTTTTTTAAAGCACCGTGAATGTTACAATTCTTAATCATGGATGCTGATCAGTCAATCCCTATTAATCATTCCTTCCTTGTAAGAAACTTTTCAAGATTTTGGCAAAATTGGAGTTTTGGCAAGGTTTTCTATAAACTGGTTTTGCTTTCCTCCAAAACATTTAAGTACTAAGAGGCCATTTTCCCAATGACAGATCCCCATCCAAATATCCACAATTTCTTTGCTTTTCCTAGTCAGGTCCTAAAGTTGCCATCCTGCAATCATGCTTCAGAAAGACTTCTGAGTTACAATTTTCAGATTCCAGTACTTTGTATAAGGAGGGATTAGTCTCCTCGTATTGGCAATAATAGTGAACTGGAAATCAAGTGAGTTCTTGAGTAACCTCACCTGGAAATCACTTCCTCTCCTTCTTCCAGGCTTCCACTACCTAAAATAGCAATCACAGTATTTCCTAAACAGCCTGTGATGAAGAAAGACAGTATTTACACTGCCCAGACTAAGCTGAATGCAGGTAAAGGAAGCACAAGAATTACCCAGGGAAATAGAGACAGGCTGCCCGTGGAAGGATTAAACACCAGCACCCAGAGAGGAATCTGCGTGTGCTCATAATAACCCTGAGTGTTCTTCTCACCTCCCATCTCAGTTGGGACAGATGTTTGAGGACCTTGACAACTGCAGATATGACATTGCAACTAAGGGTTTAATTAAGGGGACACAGCATGGTGTCTCTGAAGCTTGTGCTAGTGGCTATGGCACCAATATTTTCAACTAATATTTCTGAATCCCTGCCTTGCCACATAGTGAGTGACCTAAGGGCAGTTTACATCATTTCTGAGGCTCAGTTTCTCCATTTATAAAATGAGTGTAACCATCTTGACCTTAAGAATTTTTATGAAGGTTAAATGAGACGATGCATACACAGTCCTTATCTGGCACTTGTTCAATATTTGATAATGGCAGCTATTGCTACTATAATTAGTTGAACTATGCTCCCCAACATCTCCACTCTGACATTTCAGTGCACTGAGAGCAGCTGACCACACTACCCCAAACTCTGTACCTAGAGATAAATCCTGGACTCCCCAAGAGACTCCCTTGGCATGCTGTCTTCCTACAGATCAGCAAGGGGTGCATGCGGATGACAAGCAGAGTGACAGTGCCACAAGTGGCCGCTTGTGCTGGCCTCTCCCTCACAGCATTTCTATGACACCTATTTCCATGGTACCTCCCCCAACCCTGCCAGACTTCCAGGGAGAAGGTCAGGAGTATGTGGGCTCTGAGGGGAGATAGGTCATGGTTCAAACCTCTTTCCCATCCCCAACTCCCAGCTGTGGGAGTCAGAGAGATTTACTTGACTTCTATGAGCCCCCATGCTTTACATACTATTCCCCTACTTGCAGACTTTGGGATCTGAGAAGCACAAAGCCTGGACTGCAAACATGCTTAGTTGAAATGGGAATTAATTAAATTAACACCGAGAAAAAGATACACTACTTCATGTGCTCACCCCTCCCCCAGCCCCTATCGTCCCAATCCGGGCTCTTCTTTCTGGAACTTTAGCCAGATTTCTTAACGTTCAGCTTTGGCCTTTGAGGAACTCGGCAGATCTCATCTCATATGAGTTCAGAACCATCTGCACACATGATCCTGAGTGGTCCTAGATGGGGAAGCCACTCCAGTGTTCAGACGTGGGGTAGGGCTGTGGAGCGGTATTAAAACATGTCTGCAAATAGTTTCTTTGACAATCCTGCCATCAAGAGGAGGAGTCTATTCTCTTTCCTCCTGAACCTGAGCAGACCCTTGTGACTGCTTGGACAAATAAGACTGGAGTGGAAATGACACTGGGGAACTTCTGAGGCAAGGTTAGATGAGGCAGTAAGTAACTGCCTGGCTCTCTCACTGGAGCCCCGAGCTGCCATGTGAAGACCAGAAGACCTAAAGCTGCCACTGGTAAGACCATGCATGGGGACCAGAGACAGACGGGGGTCGTGGGAGGGGTGCCTGAGGAGCCCTAGCTGCTCCACCCTGGCTATTTGATTCTTCCTAGCCTAGAGTTGCGTAAGAGGTACACCTGTGAGATTCCAACTCCAGCTATGACTGATGAGAAACTCTAAGCCAGATCACCTAGCTGAACCACTCTTGAATTTCTGCCCACAGAAACTGTGAGAGAGTGTAGTAAAATGAGTGCTGTGTCTTAAAACATTAAGTTTTGAAGTGATTGTTTTTCAACAATAGAGAGATGGAAGAGAAAGATAATTCCCAAATATTTAATTTGCCATTAATAATGGAGCTCCATTCACATGACTCTCAATGAAATGCCATTTCTAAGGCTTTCTTGCAACCCTGAGACCTTCAATTATGGTCAAGGAAAGCTCACAGGGGCCAAAGATACCATGTCATTGCAGGAATGGGGTGGGAACTGGTCCTTCTCTCAGGCTCTGAGGAGTAAAGACTGAATATTTAGGGCTGCCCATCCCTTCAGGTGGGGCTTTCCATACTATGGGATTCACCCCGGTGTTAAATTAGTAATCACAATAGTTGGTGCCATTCACTGAACATTCTGGCAGGGGCTGGCAAGGTGTCCACCAAACACTATTTTCTCTCTGTCGACCAACTTCCCTATGTCTGGTGTACAGGGACTACACTTCCCAGTTTCCCTTGCAGATAGGTACAACCATGTGACTGACTGGTTCTCACTATTACAGGGGCAGAAACAATATATGCTGCCTTCAGGCCTCATCCATAACACTTCCCTGCCTGATCCTTCATACTCTTTCTCATCCCTCATATTGGGCTGGATCCAGTGGAGGATTCCAAGAATGGAAAATTCAAAGAGCTTGAGTCCCTGCATGACTTCATGAAACAGTCCTCCCCTCTCTGTTTACCACATCAGATTCAGACATGTTCAAGAAATAACACTTAGTCCACTGAAATTTTGGCCCTATCTGTTATAGCAGTCTACATTGACAAATGCAATATCTGAGTCAGGAGCCTTCCAGCTTTTTCTGTTTGTTTTTTTCCCTCCTCTTTGCAACAGTTCTGAAACGTGGGTATTATTATCTTCCTTCAAGAGATAAAAATACTAAAGATCAGCCTTAATAAGAGCTGATATTTGTTGGGCCCAAACTATGTACTGGCCAGTGTGCAAAAAACTGTATGTTCCTTCTCTCCTATCCAGATAGCAATTATATGTGGTAGGTACTATTATTATTCCATTTTTCACATGAGGAAGCTGGAGCTTAGTCTCCCCTGCCCCCCATCTAAGCTTAGGAGATTTTGCCCATAAAGCAACTTACCATGAGGTCACACAACCAGTAAGTGCAAAGGCTGGGATGTGAACTCAGGCTCTCTGAATGCAGAGGTCATGTTATTTATCACCTCTTGCTGCCCATCTTTAACTAGAGTCTAAGTTTTTTCTACTGCTGATCAGGTTAACTGTTGACTGAAAGAAAAATTAATGAATAAATGAATAAAAAGAATAGAACAGAACAGAATTTCCCATCCCTATGATTCGAAAAAAGGAATATGGTACTCCTAGAGTACCCATACTCACTGTTCCCACCCCCAGCCAAGATGGCACGCCTCCTACTCTGTCTCCCAGTGATGTCTGGGCCAGTGGGAGTGCTGAGCCTCTTTGCAAACTTGAGGGGGAAGTGCTTTCTTGCTCTTTTTGCCCATGTCTGGTTTCTGCCATGCTGCTCATCATCTACCATCTTGCTTCCGTAACCAGCCATCACCATGGAAATTTCCTGCATTCTTTTCCCCCATTCCAGTATGGTATTTTCACATCTGTTTGACACTTTTTGTAGGGTGGGGATGGAGAAAAACTTGGAACAACATAGGAAAAAAATGAAACAGAAATGTCCTAGGGCAGTCCACTGTCCCGATCTCGGCACATAAACATTCATACCCTT